GTGCTTCAAGGACCCTATGTCGAACATTCAAGGGCCTGGTTTGTGGCTCTCATGTTCAGACAGACAGACAGACAGACAGACATATTCCTATCCTGCTCATCCAGGTCCTCAAAACAAATAATGAATGGGTTTGTGTTGGGGAGTTCGTGATTTGCTAACCGCGCACAACTCACGAAATACTCGCACCACCTCCTTCAAAAAAAAATGTTAAACACGGCTCAGTGCCGAGAGACTTCCTGACCACACCAAACGCACTTGTAGGGTAGGGTGTCAGCAGTTCCTGCCAGTTAATGCAGCAGAAATAGCGAGAAACAGTGGATTGTTACGCCTCTCGTAGATCAGATAGCGCTTAAAGCTGTTTATTGCTGTTATTTTTTGCTAAATTATTTCCCTGTTTCTCACCCAAGTTCTCCGTGGCTCTCTAGATCTGTCTAGATTTCCATACCCTCAAGCAAGACTTGAGCAGACCACATAATTCTTGTAATTCACAATTCCTTCCGAGTGTGCCTTATGGAAATGAAAGAGGCCGCGGCATAGAGCGAAAAAATCAGCACTGTTGCTATCCCGACATCAGCCGAATACTCTACACCAGTGTTTGTTTGAGTCTTACTCCCACCACTTTGCTGTCTTCTACGTAGCGTCTATTCTGTTCATGGATGACACACTCTCCAAATACAGGGGAAAACGATTCAGAACAGTCAAAACTTGTAATTTAATCTTAGATTCATTGTAAATTAAATGTGAGGCCCTGTTTTTCATCTTTCGGACGGATAAAGATATATTGAGTTAGGCTTGTTGGAGAAATAGGCCCTCATGTACGTTGTTGGTAGAAATAGCAACGGGAAACTTTGGAAGGAGATTTAATAATATCCATCATAATTTTATTTGCCTATACTGTTTTCTCTGTGATTCCTTGTCTAGACACTTATGCTACAGATAAATTCAGACCACGTAAGAATATTTGTTGGTGTGCTGTTTATAGTGACAATAGGCTGAGAACAACGTAGACATCCACCTGCAGGGAGTGATTAAAATATAGTACTCTTGAAAAAAAAAGAACTGTTCTACATGTGCTAATGTGGACCAGTCTCAAATCATATTACTGGATGAAAATAACAAGGTGCAAATCAGTGCATAAAATCGAGGAACGTGTGTAAGGCTGATAAAACACAGCAAGTACTCTAGCACACTCTATGTACCACGGGCCCTCCTTCTGGCTGACTGTACCTGTGGTAAATGTTTTTAAGGTTGCTCCTCAAGACAGACATGTACACCTGCCTGTACGGTTGGCCTTTCGATGTCTCCAGAAAAAGACAAAAGGAACTATTGACTTTAGGATCTGCAGATAGAAGCAGAAAGCCTGAGGTCAGAGGACGATTTACTACTCCTCTTTACCTTTTCATATGAGTCAAATTTTTAGTATGTGCAAGAATTATGTTAAAAATTAATAAGACCTCAGGTGTAGAAAACACTTCAAGTTCAATAACCAGTCAGAGTAAATGCAGGTTGAAGACAATTGCTGCATCACTGTACCGAAGCCTGCCAACTTTTTCCACAGATTAAAATTATAGAAATGGCACCTGTATCGCCAGCTGAATTAATCAGTCAAAGATGCTTCTTGCAGCCAAAGGCTACTTGTCTGGTGGCTTGACTCACCACAGGCTCCACCTGTTCCCTCCCAGAGAGCTGAGGAGATGTCACACTTCAGTCTCATCTCTGCGCGCCGGAATGCCATTGGCATGCCAGGTGGAAAGGTCTAAACAGGGGGAAATTGAAACCATCTAAACACAAAGGATTAAATCAGATACTACGCAAAATGCCTATACAAATCTTAAAGCGATAAGTATGAAATAATTGTTTCAATATTTTTGTAATAAAAACATTTTTGTAGTGCATTGCTTAACATATAATGCTTATACAATATTACTGCAACTGGATAAAAAATCAACATGCAGTTTGCCATGGCCAAAAGGATATAATAAATTTAAATAGTTAAGTTTGGAATTTGGTTATAAGAGATTTTGTTTCTACTTTGAAATGACTCCATTAATGTTAATTTTTTATGTAATATAAAGAGCATGACAAAAGTATTAGTAAAAGCAAATTCACTAAAGAAAGATTTATTAATCAAAACATTTTAGGGGTTGAGTGTAGTGGCACCGCTAGTAGTCCCAGCTACTCAGGAGGCTGAAACAGGAGGATTGCTTGAGCCCAGAAGTTCAGAGCAGTCTGACGTGAGAGCGTGACCTTGTCTCAAAAAATAAAAATTAAGAAGGGGGCTCATTTGAAGAAAAGGTTCTATTTCAATTACTAGTACCTTTAAATATAATTTTGCAAGTTCTACAAATGAATTTCTAACTGGACTGTTTTTCTACTCACCAGTTTCTGCACATGGATCTCAACAACCAAGAAAGAAAAAGAAATGATGGGCAATTTTAACTTCAAACATGAATTCAAAGCCTTAACCTGGAGATTTTGGAAGCCATTGAGACTAAGAACTGACTTTTGCCTGTCAAGGTATGGCGGCCACCACCTCACTCCATCAGTCAAAAGCTCCCATGATGCTCGAGGTAGAGCCCTAGCTCCAATGGTGTAACACTCTGGGGCCTCTCCTTCAGACTTTACCTCTCACCCCAGCACTTCTGGAAACATCAACTCACTGTCCCCTAAGTACAAATGAACTTGTAACAGATGAAAAGATCTTTTCATTCACAGTGGCAGATAGGGGACTGATCCCACTCCCTTCAGTACCCTCACACCTACACAAGCAGAACTTTATTGGGGGGGTGGGTCTCTTCAGCCTTGAAAGGTACAAGCAGTTGATCCAGAGAGTGACCAACCTGCTGCTGAGAGAAATAGGTTTTTATTGATTTGCTGCAGTGGGCTAAAGTCCAGTAAATTTCCATTAGCCAAGAGTATGGTTCCAGAAGCTATTTCCTCTTGTGATGCATTTGGACCATAGAGTTTTTGTGTATCTGGCATCATAATCATCCTGGGTGGAACCCCCTGGCCTTGCACTTGGTAGGTTTTTGACAGTCTGTCAACTCTGACCAAGAGCTGCTGCATTACTCTGACAGCTCGCGTCATCATCTTGTGTAAACCTCCTGGACTTATGGCAGGTGAAGGACTGTTAGTGTTTGGAGATGCTGAAAAAACATCAAGGTGGAAAGAAAAGAACCACATACCACCTCCAACAGGAAACAGGCTATATTAACCCTGAGTCATAGCATTGGATGAAGCATGATCGGACTGTCTACTTGCAGAGTTGAGTAGGAGCTGACTCAAGGGTTAAGACTACAAAAGGGACAGACATAATATGAAGACAGACATCCTGTGCATTTTATCCCATTTTAGTCACCCATCAGACATCTGCAGGCCCCAGTGAAGTCAGCGTCCTCAGCAAAAGTGGCCTTGAGGTCACTGGGAAGTAACCCAGGCAACTGATATCACAACCCACACGTCAGAGGTGCCATCTGCAGAAAAGCCAGTAGGAACCTAACAATCAATGTACCACCCAGCTGTGGGACATCCAAAATTAGTGATTTTAAAATTGTTAAGAGCAAAGGGAGCTAGAGGGTTTTTTCTTGAACACAATTTCTCATTTCATGCCAACATTGTGCAGCTGTGGTTTTATCAGGGCCTCATGACGTGTATTTCACAAAGGGCACCCAAGAGTTTATCCACCCAGCCTTCAGTCCCACCACTGTCCCACAGTGGCGGGCCCTAATTATCTTTCAACCTCTGTTGAAAGTTCTCTCCTATTTCTATCTTCTTAATCCTTTCAAGACCTAGCATTTTGGACTGGAGATGTAGCTCAGCGTCAGAGCACTTGCCTAGAATGCATGAGACACTTGATTCTCTCCCAGAATCACCAAAAAAAAGGCAACTTGGTAACTTTGTCCATGAATCCCTTTCTGACACCTCAGAGATGAATCTAAAAATCACAACCCCTGTTGTCTATCCTCATCGTTGGAAGCTTCTTTATGATAGCTCTTGTACTGTGATGAAATTAGTCTTCGTTCCTTGTCTTATACCTCTATATAGGGACCAAAGCCTATGAAAGAAGCTACATTTCTTAGTATCCTTGCACATTATGAAAGCTCAGAGTTGGTGGAATATTGCTCTCCTAGAATGGTTTTATTTTAGGCACTCAGTAAATATCCAGCAAATTGTGATAAATATGTTTTGCAGTCTACCTTGGATCTTTTCAATAAGATTCATCGCTGCACAAATGTCATTCCAGGAGCTGACAGAGGTTACATTAAAATGTGATGTGAATATTAGTTGTGATGACAAATGCCAAAAAGGGGAATTGGGTAATTCTACAGAGGAAAAAGATATTCTAATCATTTTAATTAATGGGATAGTTCTTGACCTCAACTATGTTCCAACCGTGTACAGTGTGATCCCGGTTGAGGCTGTAAATGGTGAGACTTGTTAGGGATAAATAAGCATAAAGTGTTTTATTATGGTAGTTAAACTTTGCAAGAAATGTATTACTAAATATAGGACAATAGGGCAATGGTTAAGAAGTTAATGTCATTTTCTCTTTGGGATAATGTTATATGTAGCCATAAAAATCGTGTAGTATAAGAATATTCCTTGGCATAGAAATATGGTTACTATAGCATAGAACAAAATATAAATTGGAAAGGGCCATACGTTAACAGTGGCCAACTCTGAGTGTTAATTTTTTTTCTTATGTACCTTTCTGTATATAAATCTTTTGCCCTGAGCATCTATTTTTTGGTGAGTGAAGAGAAAACATTAACTTTTTATAGTATCACACCATATCAATTTCCTCTTTCATCTGCCCTCCTCACTTGCCCCCTTCACCACCCATATAAAAGTAAACAGGTTTTGCTATTAGATTCATAAACCATCTGCCTAGCTGGAAGGTAGGTTCACACAGACATGCGCAGACTCCTTGAGCAGCTCTTAATATCAAGGTGATATACTCTGTTATTCAATTTATGAGGAAATCTGAGATGCCTGCTCACCTTTTCGGATTTCATGATGTGCAGTACTCCCACGGGCTTGGCAAGAACCTGACTCATAAGAGACTCACAGAGGTGGGCAGATTGTCTTCCGTCTAGTCTGACAACAATCATCCTTCTTCAAGCCCACCATTTCCGTGCACACACAGGAATAAATGTCCTCCACTCTGGGGTGGAGAACCTCAGCATGGGCAGTCATGAAATACCATGAGCCAGAGAATGCTTTTCAGATTTCCCAGGAGTGGGTAAAAGCCAATTATCTAAATATGACACATATTGACTCCAAATTCCAAAGAAGCTCACCAAAACATTGTGTTTCATTCTTAGTGATAAGGAGCTCAAGAAGAAAAATTTGACCTTCACTTTTCTTGGTTATTGAATGCTCTCTGAGATATCACTGGCATGGAAAGCCCCTGTATTTCCTCGGAATATGTCTCCTGCCCTCCACCACAGAGCACTCACCACTCCCTGTTATCTAGATCAGATCTATACATTATCATCAATACAAGGATTCAAATCACATGCCATAGACATTGATGGTTAAGATTAAGAGCTGGTAAACTGAGGTACTGGGGCCAGATTCTGCCTGTAACCTATTTTTGTAGATAAAGTTTAGTAGCTATGCTCATCCATCTATATATTGTCTGACAGTTTTGTTTGTTTTTTTTTCTGCAATGGCAAAGCTGTAATGGAAAGTGTATGAACTAAATAAAAAAACTATTTACTATCTGACCCTTTATACAAAAAGCTTGCCAAATTTTGGTCAAGATGACTGCAGACTCTATATTGTGAAACAGGATATCAGAGACTGGATACGACCTTGAATAAACAATCTAGCCTAATGAGGAAACTGCTTTCTCCATATCAGTAGTTGTGAGCTTAATATCAAGAATTCATGAATTTGCTTCAGATCACCTTTGGGACATCAACCAACTTAAAATCGCTCCCTTGCTCACTTTACTATGGCTCATCATTATTCTCCATTCTATTCACAGCCATTAGCTAGAATGGGAAGATTATAACAATCAACAAACCTGCTTCTCCTTGGTTCTTAATGATGACACTAATTCCAGCAGTTCATCTAGGACTACAGTCTTGTTTCATATTTCTCTTTGTTAGGGAGGACAACACCAGCTCTTGATCCTTCCTAGAGTAGTAATTACTACTCCATGGGTCTGGAAGCCAATGTGGAGAGTCTGCTAAAGCTATACATTCCCATAATTCTCTCAAGAACTGGGCCACTATCCACAAGATGAGCCTGGGGTCCCACAGGGCCCATCAAGAGATGCTTAGGGTCAGAACTGCATACACCACCAAGCTTCAAGTAAGCCTGGAGAGAGAGAGCGGTGTGCCTCAAGGCTCCAGTTCTGCTCAGAGTCAATTTCTGATAGTCTCTAAACAGTGTGAAGAGCACAGTTACTGGGGGAGTGGCCACAGAGAAGGGTAGGAAGAAGGTTCACAGTGTCCATACTTCATAATATTGCATATTCTTTCCTTAAGCAGCCCCCATCCCCTTCAGTTAAGGAGCTGTGAATGCACCAGCTAATTCCTGTCTGTGGCCTTGACTATCTACATGGTGGTGTGACTCAGACCCAGCTTGGGGTTGCAGAGGGATGGGATGTAGCAACTTTGTGGAATGCCCACTGTTTACATTCCTGGGAACTCTGTGAGGAATCACAGCCAGACTTATCTTGAACCAGACAACCCTGAGATCTGTTCATCACATTTGGACTGCTGCCTGCTCTCGTCATAACCACACTGGCTTTGCTCCTCGCAGTGATCAGTACCACGCACAATGTCCGCCCAGGACTCCTCATGTCCACAGGGATCAGAAGACCACTTCAATGGCAATTCCTGTCATAAACATCCTGAGCTGGGTGTAACAATTAGTAAATTGACTTTCAAAGATTCTGAGCCCCACTGGAAACATATTTAATAGATTAAATTTAGCATTTCTATCTCTTGAGTCCTTTCCCTGTGCTGTGCCAAAAGATCTCTAGCCCATTGTCATCATCTAGCATGAGCCAGCATTTGATTCATATTTGTACTGGGCAACTCTGGTTTGCATTAGAATCGTAGCCCATGGTAATATGATCTATACAGAATTCATGCTGAGTAAATCCATATCAATCAGCTCAGCCGGATCCAAATTCGTGTTTTGCCCTCCTTGGTTAAACATTCTTAAAATCCATCTCCACAAACATGGTTCAATTTTGTAGAATTTGCTGCTTCCTACAACTCCTTTGAGTATGATTTCCGGGTTTCCCCACTCTGATTCTGCAGTTTTACCCTTGGAAACTAGACTGAGTTACCAGAGAAAATAGTTACCCTAAAAAATACAGGGGGGATGCACAACAGGGAAAATGTTAACTTGCTCCTGAAGGGAATTTTTCATTCACTAGAGAAGAAAAGCATCTGGGGACACATTCCAATGTGTTCCACATTAGGGACTTTCCGTGTTCCCTATACACACCTAGACTTCTCTGTTTCAGTTATAGGGATTCTACTCTTTTTTTATTTATGTTTTGATTTGGACATAAATGCAAGTAATTGAAATATCATGTTTAGCAGTAGGACTTGATTTTAAGGGATCTTACACTACAACTCAGGAAGTAATCATTTTGTCGTGGTCATAAAAAATACTCTGATTCATCTTATTCTTTGAAGAATTGGAGAGCGTGTCCATTCCTTACATCAGATTATCTAATGTTCTGATTTCTTCCATCATTATTCCTCCATCTCCAATGTCTACGGCAGGAGACATATTTCCCCACTGCATTAGGGATCTGTGCATCTAGTTCTACATGACACAGAAGCTAACTTGATCGACCTGTTTCCACCTTCTCTCTTGAAATTTGAGTGAAATACTCATTGAGAGTTTGAACTGAGAAGACATTCTAAATACTTCTCACTTTCTTGAGGACTTGGTGCTTGCAATATAGTCTGTGAGACAAAATGTTTAGGGTTCTACTGCTGTAAAAAGTAGAAGCTGCCTGTAAGATGAGCAGTAAGAAGGGATACTGTGGAAAAAGTAATGGGTGACTCCCAACACTGAAAGATAGGCTGTGCTGTCAGAAATCAAGGCTCCTATAAGCTAAAATCTAAGTGGATCAAAGATCTAAATATTAAAACAGAAACACTAAACTTGCTGGAAGATAAGTTAGGTAGAGCTCTGGAAGACATTGGCATAGGAAAAGACTTTGTGAACAAATCCTCACTGGGATTTCATTATATTAAAAAGCTGCACTGCAAGAGAAACCACCAACAGAGCTAAGAGAATATACAAAGAATATATAAAGAACTCAAAAAAAAGTAGGCCCCTCAATATAAAGACCCAATTCAAAAATGGGCATCTGAAATGAACAGACATTTCTCAGACAAATAAGTAAAAGCAGCAAATAAATATATGAAAAAAAAAATGACCTCCCCAGGCCTTCAGTCTGGTGAGGGCCGCCCAGCCGCTCAGGCACCTCTGCAGCATCCCCCCACTCCTGTGCTCTCAGGCCTCCTGCTTGTGCCAGTACCTGGAGCCACACTGCAGAGGCACAGGTGGTCATAAAGCCTATTTTACTGAGCTCCAGGAGATAGAATGGAAGTGAAGAATTACAATAAAGGCACATCAGGCCTCCACAGTTGGTAAGTTGGAGGGATCACCACCTGGCATCAGAACTTGGACTAGCTTCAAGGGAAGGGCAGCAGGAACCCTATAGTAGAACCTTGCAGAGTTCAACCCTGCAGGAGGTCAGGGAGCTCAACTTGGGCCTTGCAGCCAGAATTCAGCCTAAATCTCAGGGGTCTGCTGTTGGCTAGCTGAGAATAATTGACTTAGTTCTGCACATTGCTACCCTCATTGTCTATTGTGATAGCAGAAAAATACCCTTGAAGAGGCACCTCAAATTTTTTTTTCTTTTCATTTTTTTAATTTTTAATTTTAAAATTTTATTTTTCCCATTCTGCTAATTCTTCCTTTTTTTTTCTTCTTTTTCCCACTCAGTCTTTTGCTCCTCCATGTTATTCTTCATCTCCCTTTTTGTTCCTCCTCCTGCCCTAATTCAGATTTCTTCTTTCTTTTTCTTTTCTTCTCTCTTTTTTCCTTCACTCAAGTGTCATGAGTTTCAAAGGAAAATGATTATAATTTATAACTTCCCTATTACTGTTAAGTTGTTCTATTCTTGTCTTTGTTCTTGCACTCTGTCTTTCCCTCTTGTTTTCAACAGTTTCCTAGAGTTTACACCATGATCCTGTATTCTCTGGCTTCACTTGAAACCTTCTCCTGTTCTTCTACCTATCTATTCCTCACCTCCCAATTCCTTCTAAGTCCCCATCCTAAAGGGTAAAGTTGCTATATTGAAGATTTTATTCACTATAGACATATTTTGGGCTGGTCCTCAATTGTGATTTAATTCACATGGTTTAAATGTGATAGATTAATAACTACCACAAATGGTCAATTTCTAAGTTGTGCTTGATCCTACTGTGTTGTTGATTGTATCAATTGGGCTAAAGGATTGTGATTGATTTAATGAGTTGTCCTTTCTGATATTATGAAAATGAGAGTGTCTATAAGTCATTAGAGATTTAAAACCTAAAGAACAGCTATATCAAGAAGATCAAAGTACTAACCAATGAATTAAACCAAGGACAGCCCAACAACAAAAATAAAAATGAGAAAACACTTTAGGCACAAAGATATTTCTACTTCGCCAACAGCAAATTCGAGGGGAAATGAGGTGGAAAAGTCTGACAACCACTAGGACCCCCTGAACTCACAGGACAGGAAGTAACAAAACAGATCAATCAGGCTCTAGAAAAATTCAAAACAGAAATAATTTCCAGATAACTACAGAGATAGTGAGCACAATGAAAGACATGATTAGAGATTCTAGAACAGAAACTGACAAAAAAATAGATGAGCTCAGGACCATGATAGAAGCCATGAATGCCCAGTATAGGAAATAAATGGAAATCATGAACGCCCAACATAGGAAAGAAATGGAATTCATGAAACAGATTCAAACAGATAATCCAGATTAAAAACTCATTGAAAGCATTCACAGCAGTATAAATAAATGTTAAGATAGAATTTCAGATATAGAAGACAGGATTGCAGTCAG